CTTTGCCTTTACCTTTATTAGGTTGGTCTTTTCCTTGGTAGAGGTTCACTCCCGGATTTTTAATCACATCCATGTGAATCTTCAACATATCTTGTGCTTTGCTGACCGTCTTTGGATAATAATCCACTTCTCTGCAATAGTTCGTCTGAAGATCCAGCATCAGAGGAGCTGTTCTTGTTTGATTGCAGTTGCACAGAAGTCCATGCATGAGCTCACAATACAAATGGTGGTGTTTGTGCAACCACTGTCCATGATGACATGATTGTACAACCCAAATAGATCTCTTTCCTTTCTGTGGCTTTGGATAAACTGCAGACCTTGATCTGCTTCAGTAGCAAGATCAGGCAAATCTTCATTTTCAATAGCATAGTGCCAGTTGGCTTGAAGTTTGACATTTGTTGTACCAGCAGGAAATGGAATAAGATAGACATCATGGAAGACATTTGACGTATTGTAATAGCCAGTTTTCACGACCTGCGGAGTTTGAGCTTGAGTTGCATCGAATCCTTGGCACACTTGAGCACCAGTGAAGCCTTGTTGGCTGAGTTGCATTCCACCGAACGCAATCTTACCGTTAGCATTCATAGAATAAGAGACAGAAACAGTGCCGCCATCTTGAGTTGGAATCTGCATGAGCTGTAGTACCAGCAAGTTGCAAAGGTGTGTTAACGCTTCCCGCAACACTTGATGCTCCACTTGTGGATGCTGAAGCTCCAGGAACTATAGCTGGAACAGTAGCTGGGACAGTTGCTCCAATCTGATTAAGATTGAGCTTCTTCCCATAGTCGACATATTGATGCTGATTCTTTCATTGGATCTTTGGTAGCAGTCTGTCTTGGCATTTTGGAGACATATGGTCTTTGTTGCCACACACATAAGATGCTGCCTTCTTTCCATCTTTTGGTTTCCCCTTTCCTTTTCCTTTGCCTTTACCTTTATTAGGTTGGTCTTTTCCTTGGTAGAGGTTCACTCCCGGATTTTTAATCACATCCATGTGAATCTTCAACATATCTTGTGCTTTGCTGACCGTCTTTGGATAATAATCCACTTCTCTGCAATAGTTCGTCTGAAGATCCAGCATCAGAGGAGCTGTTCTTGTTTGATTGCAGTTGCACAGAAGTCCATGCATGAGCTCACAATACAAATGGTGGTGTTTGTGCAACCACTGTCCATGATGACATGATTGTACAACCCAAATAGATCTCTTTCCTTTCTGTGGCTTTGGATAAACTGCAGACCTTGATCTGCTTCAGTAGCAAGATCAGGCAAATCTTCATTTTCAATAGCATAGTGCCAGTTGGCTTGAAGTTTGACATTTGTTGTACCAGCAGGAAATGGAATAAGATAGACATCATGGAAGACATTTGACGTATTGTAATAGCCAGTTTTCACGACCTGCGGAGTTTGAGCTTGAGTTGCATCGAATCCTTGGCACACTTGAGCACCAGTGAAGCCTTGTTGGCTGAGTTGCATTCCACCGAACGCAATCTTACCGTTAGCATTCATAGAATAAGAGACAGAAACAGTGCCGCCATCTTGAGTTGGAATCTGCATGAGCTGTAGTACCAGCAAGTTGCAAAGGTGTGTTAACGCTTCCCGCAACACTTGATGCTCCACTTGTGGATGCTGAAGCTCCAGGAACTATAGCTGGAACAGTAGCTGGGACAGTTGCTCCAATCTGATTAAGATTGAGCTTCTTCCCATAGTCGACATATTGATGCTGATTCTTTCATTGGATCTTTGGTAGCAGTCTGTCTTGGCATTTTGGAGACATATGGTCTTTGTTGCCACACACATAAGATGCTGCCTTCTTTCCATCTTTTGGTTTCCCCTTTCCTTTTCCTTTGCCTTTACCTTTATTAGGTTGGTCTTTTCCTTGGTAGAGGTTCACTCCCGGATTTTTAATCACATCCATGTGAATCTTCAACATATCTTGTGCTTTGCTGACCGTCTTTGGATAATAATCCACTTCTCTGCAATAGTTCGTCTGAAGATCCAGCATCAGAGGAGCTGTTCTTGTTTGATTGCAGTTGCACAGAAGTCCATGCATGAGCTCACAATACAAATGGTGGTGTTTGTGCAACCACTGTCCATGATGACATGATTGTACAACCCAAATAGATCTCTTTCCTTTCTGTGGCTTTGGATAAACTGCAGACCTTGATCTGCTTCAGTAGCAAGATCAGGCAAATCTTCATTTTCAATAGCATAGTGCCAGTTGGCTTGAAGTTTGACATTTGTTGTACCAGCAGGAAATGGAATAAGATAGACATCATGGAAGACATTTGACGTATTGTAATAGCCAGTTTTCACGACCTGCGGAGTTTGAGCTTGAGTTGCATCGAATCCTTGGCACACTTGAGCACCAGTGAAGCCTTGTTGGCTGAGTTGCATTCCACCGAACGCAATCTTACCGTTAGCATTCATAGAATAAGAGACAGAAACAGTGCCGCCATCTTGAGTTGGAATCTGCATGAGCTGTAGTACCAGCAAGTTGCAAAGGTGTGTTAACGCTTCCCGCAACACTTGATGCTCCACTTGTGGATGCTGAAGCTCCAGGAACTATAGCTGGAACAGTAGCTGGGACAGTTGCTCCAATCTGATTAAGATTGAGCTTCTTCCCATAGTCGACATATTGATGCTGATTCTTTCATTGGATCTTTGGTAGCAGTCTGTCTTGGCATTTTGGAGACATATGGTCTTTGTTGCCACACACATAAGATGCTGCCTTCTTTCCATCTTTTGGTTTCCCCTTTCCTTTTCCTTTGCCTTTACCTTTATTAGGTTGGTCTTTTCCTTGGTAGAGGTTCACTCCCGGATTTTTAATCACATCCATGTGAATCTTCAACATATCTTGTGCTTTGCTGACCGTCTTTGGATAATAATCCACTTCTCTGCAATAGTTCGTCTGAAGATCCAGCATCAGAGGAGCTGATCTCGTTTGATCGCTGTTGCATAGAAATCCTGTTGCAAGAACGGCTTCAAAGATATCATCCTTGAACTTGTTTTGAGCAGCAGTATCAGTGCTAGCAATAGCAGCATATGCTTTTGTCTTGACTGCAAAATCTCGGAACCAGGCCACGCCATATAGATCTTGCAGGACCTCAGCCTGTCTCAAAAATCGTTCCTTGAAATGCATCTAGTTTTCCGTTGTTCCTTGCTTCATAGCAAAGAACTTTTGATTTGCTTCCCAGAAATCCAAGAAATCATACTCAGCATCAGCACTCTTCTTCATGAATCGTTCAATACATTTCTAGAGTTTGATTGGATCTTCAAGAGTAGTCGTGAAATCTGCTTCACCTCGAAACTTCAGCATGATGTTTGATTTGACGGTTCTCTTGTTTGTCTCAAGGTAGGCTGATCTTCGCATGTTCTCGTCTAGCTTTGCAGAATAGAGAATCTTGTTTTGGCAGGAGTGTGTTGGGATATTACAAAATATGAGTTTTTACATTCCAAAAAGAAACTATTCAAGTACAAAGTTTTCGAAACGTACGATCGGACATTGATCATGATGTCAGGATTCGACACAAGTATGCCGGAAGCAAGTCTGTTGGGCAATCTACATTTACACAAAAAGAGAATGACCCTATACAAGTGAGATATTGATGTTGTGTACAACGCAGTAGGGAATAATACAAGATGATTGCATTGAAGTCAATCGACTTTCCATCTCAAATTGATTTCACCATGTCTTCGGAACATTTCATTCCAGAAGCTTGGATGTAGTCAATCACTCTTTCTTTGGCATCTTCGTAGGATGATCTTGCCTTTCCATTGTTTTCATCTTTCGTTGAAAATAGATGTTTCACAACTGTTGAACTCGAGTTGCTCTTGACTTTCTGAGGAGTCACACGTCCTCTTCCACCACCGGATGAAGAACGTCCCATTGTCAACAAATCAATCACTCCTTTGTAGATAAGGCAGTGCTGTTCTTGACAAAATTTGTTTTGTTGCCTTTTGTGATTGAATATTAGATTGTCCGACAGACTTGCGTCCAGCATACTTCTGTGGAATCCTGACATCACGATCAAAGTCCGATAGTACGTGTAAAAACTTTGTACTTGAATAGTTTCTTTTTGGAACGTAAAAACTCATATTTTGTCATATCCCAACATAGGGACAGTAGATATTGTTATTGGCTTAGAGGTGCTTGGACATCATTTCAATACTGCAGGTGGTTCATGTTGGGAATTCACGTGCGCGTGTAAGAACTAATGAAGTACTGTTGGGACTAACAAAGTACTTGTGGAAAATCCAGGTTTATATGGATTAAAAGTGGTCCTCAGGCGTGACAAATAGATAGGATATACCGGTAGCTGGGTCAGAACCAGCTTGTCACATTTTTGAGGACCCGACTGGTTGTTTTAGCCAACAGTTCAGATGCATGGACTATCACATCAAACATTCATGGATTGTTACCTTGTTCCAAATTTGTCTTAATCCTTGCTAATGCCAGGATAAAAGCATATGTCATCTTGTGATGCCATGCATGAAACCAGCACTGTGTTGTAGAGCCCCTCAATTGCAATCCTGTTGCTTCTCCTCTTTTCTTCTCTCTTTTCCTTTCTTCTTCCTTTCTCCCCTTCTTTTCTCCCTAGGGGATCTGGTATAAACCGCTCCACCAGCATGAAATAAAAACCGCAGGAGGAGTTGGCTTTCAGGTGGTGGGGTCTTTAGTGAATTTCTAGCCAATGGGAGTTAGTCGATTCACTAAAGATGAGACTATTATTAGTGGTATGAGCCAATCACAGCTCTCTATCACTAATGATAGATTTGGCTAACTCTCTTCCACACTAAATTTGTACTCTTCACAGACTTCAAATGATGTTAGGGGGATGTTACTAGGTCCAAGCTCCATATGGCCATAGCAGTTTCTCTTTATGCCAGGATAAAAACATATGTCATCTTGTGACGCCATGCATGAAACCAGCACTGTGTTGTAGAGCCCCTCAATCGCAATCCTATTGCTTTTCTTCTTTTCTTCTCACTTTGTTCTTCTTTCCTTTCTTCTTCCTCTCTCCCCTTCTTTTCTCCCTAGGGGATCTAGTGTAAACCGCTCCACCAGGATAAAGCATATGTCATCTTGCAACGCCATGCATGAAACCAGCACTGTTTTGTAGAGCCCCTCAATTGCAGTCCTATTGCTTCTCCTCTTTTCTTCTCACTTTGTTTTTTTGTTCCTTTTCCTTTTTTCTTTCTTTCTCCCCTGCTTTTCTCCCTAGGGGATCTAATACAAACCGCTCCACCAGCATGAAAGCGAGGTGTTGGTTTTGTGGTGGTGGGGTCTTTAGTGAATTTTTAGCCAATGAGAGTTAGTTGATTCACTAAGGGTGATTCTATTTTTAGTGGTATGAGCCAATTACAGCTCTCTATCACTAATGATAGATTTGACTAACTCTCTTCCCCACTAAATTAGTTCTTTAGCGCTCAGAACAAACTCTCTGCAATCTAAATTTGTAATCGACTGTACAACACTTTCACGACAATAGTTCTCCTTTGTCTAGGTATACTTTGAGTGAAATTGTTCCTATTTGATTAATATTTGGCTTGAATTGATGATTCAAT